GCGGGCGATCGGCGCTGGGCGCCCCACGGCTCGGGGCTCCGAGTCTACTCCTCCCTCCTGCTTCGCTTCCCCCGCTTTGCTTTACCCTCCTGCTTTTCCAGAAGCTTCTTACCCTGCCGTGAACTTTGGCAGTTGGGGGACGACACCTGGCCGGGGTAAGGGGGAGCGGCGCGGGGATGAGGAAGGCTCGGCACGGGCAGCGCGGGCACAGGAGCCGTTAGGGGCGGTGGGGTTGACCGAGGGGGGGGCAGGGAGGCTCTTGGTATGTGCCCTCCTGGAACTCTCTCTCTCTCCTGCCCCGAAACCACGGGATTTCAGGAAGTTCTCTCTCTCTCTCCTGGTCCAAATCCACGGGATTTCGGGGAGCTCTCTTTCTCTCCTCGTCCAAAACCACAGGATTTGGGGCTTGTAGCCCAACAGTAGAGCCAGGGCATCATCCCCTACCCTGGACTCCCCAAAGTCTGAAGCTGCCAGCTCGCTCTGACTGAGGGCGTTCTTGGGCTGGAGCCCCCACAAATTCCCCAAGTTGTTTCTGGGCATCAGAGAAAAGGAGAAGCAAAATTAGCATCAAACTGAGGGAAGTCAGCTGGGAGGTGGGGAAACTTGTCGAGGTGTTGAATCCTGAAAATTTGTCCTGCTAGCAGTAGGTGCCTAGAGCTGTGTTTCCCCAAGAAACAACCTTGCTTTGTGGGATGGCAGGGCTGGATTTTGTTGTTTGAGGGGTTATTGTTGGTTGGTTTTTTTTTAATTCTTTGTTCAGCCAAAAGCTTGCTGGGCAGCACCAGCCCGCTGGAGTTTGGGTGGCACTGGGGCATGGGGTTTTGAGGAAACTTCCCTGAGGTTCAGGGCTGTTAGAGCATGCTGGAGGAGGCATTGCAGCTCCCTTGCACAGCACCCCAGGGATGGGTCTCACCCAGCAGCACCAGGAACACCCAGAACTGGCCCTGCCTGGCTGCCAGAGAGCAACTGCACCTTGGGAAAACTCAACCATCTCCCTGTTGTTCTTGCAGGGCCTTCCCCACCCCTTACCACGTACCTCGTGAAGCACAGAGGCCATGGCGTGGTCAAGCCAAGCACTGGAAGAGAAGAGCGAGTTGAACTGTGTGGAGGCAGACCAGGATGACAGCCTGGTAGACCTCACGTGGCTGAGTGACTTCAAAGTGGCCCAAACTGGCCTGCCCCAGTTATACTCTGGCTCAGACCCCCAGGACTGTTGCACAGTGAGTGAGAGTCTGTTCAGTCTGATTGATGTCGAGTCGCCATGCTCACCCCTGGCAGCTGACCCAGCGTGCAAGGGCACACGCCACACTCCTTGCACACCTGTCTCCTCCTCCACCTCATCGACCACACACCATGATGTGGCTGTGTCCCCTCATCTTGCAGGGGACATCGACTATAAGACCAACCCACATGTCAAGCCACCCTACTCCTATGCCACCCTCATCTGCATGGCAATGGAAGCCAGCAATGAGCCCAAAATGACACTCTCTGCCATCTACAAGTGGATTACTGACAACTTCTGCTACTTCCGACATGCTGATCCCACCTGGCAGGTAGGAGATTTGGAGCCCTCTTGCCTTGGCTCCTCTCCCCACAGGGCTGGACAGGGCTTTCCACAGCCTCCACCCTGCAAGACAAGGTGTCATAGGAATGCTGGTTCCCACTGGGAGGAGAGTGGCACCAGCAGCTGGTGGGGAAGGGCTGTAATGGGAAAAAGCACATTTGGATGGGCACAGATGACATGGCTTTGGGTGGCAGAGGCAAGGAGTCATTCTGGAGGAGAATCCAGGGCTGTTTTGGGAGGTACCTGTTTTTGTTTTCTGACCCCTAAGGCTCCACTTGGCTCTGGGGTGAATGCATCCCAGTCCATACCTTCCTGGAACATGGGCTCCTGAAGTTGCTACATCAAATATCCCTGGGTGCTGAGGACCTGGCACAAGTGATGGCTGGAGATGCCACTTGTTGGACAAGTCACTCACTGGGGAATGTCTGAGCAGAAATGCTGCTGATTTCCAAGCAGGGCACAGGGCTGGGCTCCTGGAACCTCAGACAGGCCAAGGAGGCTGGGACAAGCTGCTGGGACCTCAGAGGGGAGCCTAGGAGAAGTCAAATAAGGCTCCTGTCTCCAACTAGCATGAGCATGTCCCCAGAGGGGAAGGAGAGCCCCCAGGCTCACCAGCTTTGAAGACAGCCTGAAGCCCAGGGGCTTTACCCAGCCACCTTGGCTCACTGTCCTCCTCCATCACACGAGGGAACCTCTAGCACATGGGGCTTTCTAGGATGTGGCAGGGCAGGAGGGACCTGGGTGGCTCATCTCTCTGCTGGGATTATTCCCAGTCCAAATCTGCAGCACATTACCAATCCTGACGGTGGTGCCCACCTGGGTAGGGCTGGGGAAACCTACTGAAAAGCCCCTGCCCAGGCATTGCCCACCTTCTCCCCAGGCAGGTAGGTCTCCAGTGGCTCTTGAAGCCCATCACAGGGAAGGGAAGCCCTCCTGGTCTCTCTCCAGGGCCACCTTGGTCCCCCAGGAGGGACCAAGGACCTAGCTCAGGGGACCTATGGGAGTGATTTGGAAGGAGGAGCTGGGTGCCAGCGTGTTGACTTTCTTCTGCATACTCATGGCTGGGTATCCACAACATTTTTTAATGAACACACTTAATTAAAAAAGCAAGAAGGTTTTCAATCCCTCTCTGCAGAGATGCAGGGGGTACACTGGACTGTTGCAGGCAGGAATGATAAATATGTTAACCAACTGGGTAATAACTCAGCCTGAGCTGAGTGAAGCTTGGGATGGGGAGGAGAGATGGGGAGCAAAGAATTCAGCTTGCAAGTCTCTGATCCTTGTAAAATTTCGTTAAACTGTAAAATTGGAGTTACCACAGCCTGGATTGGAGGGATATCTTTGTTCCTGCTTCTTCTTTCTGTGTTTTTTCTTTCCTTTCTTTTTTCTCTTTTGTTTCTTTTTTTTTTTTTTTTTACTTCCTTTTTTTTCTCTCCTTTTTTCTTTCTTTTGGAGGCTGTTCTCATCCCCTATCCTGATTCCTGTACGTGAAGACAGCCTGGAAAGGTCATGCCACCCATTGTCGGGGGGGGAGATGGATATATTCCTGTGGGAGCTGAGTGCTTTGGAGAGGAGCCAACAAACCCAAGGAGCTCCAGCCCAGAGGAGGGTTTTGGGGGGTGGGTGGGTGGGTGTGTGTGTGCGCGCATGTTTTTCAACAGCTCTAAGCAATTGAGCCTTGTTTTTCCTATTTGACACTACGGATTATGGATGAATAAGCATAAAGATATCCAGGCAACATTAGAAAAAAAAAACCCCACCTCTACCATATCCAGTCTTTTACTACAGTCCTGGCTTTGTGGAGTCCAATGCTGGGTTATTTACCCAATAACTGAGTTTCCTTTCTGATTATTCACATCACTCCAGGCACATTCAGGGTGTCAGAACAACTCAACGGGAGAAGAAACTCCTCCTTTTCTTTCTTTCCCCCTTCCCCCCCTCCCCCCAGCTTATTTGAGCAGTGGCTGATGAAGATGCAGTGATTTCACACCGATTTCCCCGGGCCAGGAGGCACCTCTGGGGACACACAGGGCTGTGGTGGAACAGCCCATGTGGCTCTCTGGGTTCTCCTACCTGATTTGTGCCAGCCTGGCTGTGGGAAGGCATGATGCCTACTTTTTTGGCAAAATGTTTTCCCCTCAACACTAGCAATCAGTGCAGATGAACTGGGGTATGCAAGAAGGACCCTGATGATGCCACCCCCAACAGTGCTGCCATGTGTTGTCCCTTGTAGTGAGGTCGAGGCCACGCTGGTGTAGACTCACCTCTTCCTTCTTAGCCACAAAGGAGGACCAAAACTCCTCCAGCTTAGTTCTATGCCTAGAGCAGCTCAGGCTGTTCTCTCCCACTGCTCTGCATAATTCAAGGACCCATGGCCCCAGTTTTCAGCCAAGGAGAGTTGCCCAAAAGCTTCCCATTAGTTGGCACATTCTAGCTTGAACCCCTTGGCTTCTGCCACCTCTGGCTGGATCAGACAGAAGGCAGGAAAGCTCTGTTGGAGACTCGGTGGTTCAGGGGACTTTTGCTGGTCATGTAGCCCAGGATGTCTTAATGTTGCCATTTCTGCTTTCTTTTCCCAAAGGTCCTTGCTGAAAATGTACTTTTCCACCAGCCTCCCCACACAGGTAGGTCCCACAGCAGCAGACATGCATTCAACCTTGATTTCTTTCTCTTTTGCATCTAGAACTCCATCCGGCATAACCTCTCCTTGAACAAGTCCTTCATCAAGGTGCCCCGGGAGAAAGACGAGCCAGGGAAAGGTGGATTTTGGAAGCTTGACCCCTGCTATGCCAACAAGCTTAAGTATGGGGCTTACAAAAAGAGAAAGATGCCTCCAGTGCAGATCCACGTAGCCTTGAACGGGAGAGTCCAGAAGAAGTCACGGCATGTCAGCCCAGCCATGTCGGCCTGCAGCTCTCAGTACAGCCTTGAGGCCAACATGGCATCACAGCAGCTGCTGAAAGAGTTTGAAGAAACCACCAGCAGCCAGAATTGGAATCCAGTGGGTAAAAAAGCAGGGCAGAAGCACAAGCAGCCCTCGCCCATGCCAATGGCCAAGGCGTCTCGGCTTTCCAGCTCCGCGTTGATGACCCAGGAAGAACAGACGGAGCTGGGATCACTGAAAGGTGTCTTTGACTGGGAAGCTATCTTTAATACCAATCTTAACGGAGACTTCACCCTTGGGGGTATGGAACTCCCACCTTCCATCAACCCTGTAACAAGCGACCTTGACCTGACAGGACAAGGACAGCACATCGACTGTCCCCAGGGGCAGGAACAAGTCCTCACTGAATCCAGTCAGTACAGCCTGGACTTCAATGAAACCCTCATGGCTACTACTTTCCTGGAGCATCCCTGGGTTGAAGGGCCAAGTGATTACCTCTCCAACTGTGTGAATATTGACCAGATGTTTGAAGACATCGATGCCTCTTTGCTGGCAGATGTGGGCCCTGTGGCACACCTCTTGTAAGACTGTAGTTGGACAGTCTCCCCAAGCTTGGGCTTGCAAGAGACAAGATTTTCTAGAGATGCCCATGGTGATTCTTACCAGCATCATTCTAAGGTTATTCCTGGAAACACCAGAGGGGAAAAAAACCCACCACCACAGGAACTGCCTGCTATGTCTTTAAAAGACACCTCAGATGTCTCTAGTTTCCTTAAGAGAATAAATTTTTTTTTTGTTTTACTTTTAAAAAAATGGAGTGTGAGTTGTTTTGTTCCATTGGGGCTAAAAGTACCTGCTAAATCCCATCCAAGACATGAGATTCCTGGTGGTTTAGGACTTCATAGACTTAAGTGCAATTTCCTCACCCTTTTGTCTCTCTGTTTCTTTCTGTCTTTCCCTTTTCTGTCTCAGTGCAGTTGGTCGGTATAGTGTGATAATTAGCTGGTAAGAAAATACAGGTCCCTTCTGGATTCTCCAAGTTCAACATCCCAGCTGACTTGTGCCTAGGGAAGAAGAAAAGGTCTATAAATTCAGCAAGTGTGCCTCTTTAGATGTTTTTATATAATCTATTATATATTATATATTCAAAGAAATCTATATTTTTTAGCACTAGAATTTCTTAAGGTGGGAGGGGAACGCTGCAAATGCAGTTTGTGAGTGGTTTTCTATTTTTCACTGCTTAAAGGTTTTTGTGTTCATTGCTCTGTAAACCAAGACCATGCATGGGAGAACTCCTGCACCAACAGGTGTTGTGAAGAATCCTGGCAGGAGAGGAGCAGCAGGGACCAGGGTGCTCCCAAAACTGGCTTTTGTATTTTCTGTACCCAAAATCCTTGCTGCAGTTGCCAAAGGGTCTGGACCACCACAAACCCTCTCTTTCACCCACTGATGTAGCCCCTCTCCACTTTCTTGGTCTGAGACTGTTGCTCTTCATTTCTTCAGCTCATCCACCAGGCTCAGAGTAAGGAAAACCCCCTGGCCTGGACTTCAGTTGGCTGCAATGGGGTTACTCCACATTGAATACTTCCAGGTGGGACTGAGGAGGAAAGAAATCCACATTCAGGCTCTGTTCAGGAGCTCAGGCCAAAGACTGTGTGTGTGCAATGGGCTCTGGGGAGCAGTGGAGATGAAGTCCCATCCAGCTGGGAGCAGCTCAGGAGCCAGGAGAGCTGCTGGGATTGACACAAACAGAAGCTTTGGTCCTCTGACTTGATGTGCAGTGAGAATGTGACAGGATCTGTGCAAAGTAGGTTGGAAATATTTTGGAAGTGGAGCCAAACTCTGCTGAAACTTGACTAGAAGCTCTCAAGAATCAGATTCTTGGCCTCTCCTTTGCTGTAGGCTGTGAGAGGTAATGCAGCCGTTAGGTAGAAGCAAGTAGAAGCTGGAGTTGTAGTGGAGTGTCTTAGACTTGCCAAAACCATGAAAGACTGTAAATACATTTGTTTGGTTATAAAAGCACTTAGGAGAGGCTTTGGGGGTTGGTGTAGATGTTTGTATTGATGCTATTTCTTTTCACTTGGTTTTTTTCTACTTTCCTGCTTTGGGGGTGATGCTGGAGAACTGCAGAGATACTTGTGCAATTTAACTTTTTTTTTTCATGCAAAGTTATTTACAAATTAAAAAAAAAAAGAAAGAAAGGAAAAAAATGGAGAAGAAAATAACCCTTTTGCCTCCTTGTTTCTCTTCAGCACTGCCTGTCTCTGTCTGAGCCTCTGCCCTGGAGGCAGGGGAGATTTCCCCAGCTCAGCCCTACCTGTACACTCAGCCCCAGCACATGGGACCTGTCACCAGCTTCCATGAAGGCACAGCAAATCCCCGTGGGAAACTGAGGCACAAACTTCCACCACTGGGGCAATGGTTACATACTGCCTGTGTGGCATAAGGGTGGCCATGCCTGGTGTCCTGAGTCCTGGGAGCTGTTCCCAGCCCTGGGAGTAGCTTTTTGTGCCCCTGCAGGGAACTTCTGGGGGATGACATGATGTGACTGCCTGGGACTATCCCTCTGCCTGTAACATGTCCCCACCTGGCCCTGTAGATGCTCTAAGAAGATCAAGTGGCTTTGGAACTCATGTGGGTACAGGGTAGTGAGAGGAGCTGCACAGAGATCTTCCTCCAGACCCTGTCTGGGACTCATCCAGCTTGGTACTTTGGATGGATTCACTCCTGCATGTCCCATCCCTCTTGCTCCGAGGACACACCCCTTGCTGTCTCCCCAGCATGTAAGGCACAACCTGTCACCTTCTCAGTGATCTACTGAATCCCCTCATCCTACCAGGTCCTGCAGCAGCCTGTCCCAAACCTGCTACACTGCTCCCAGTCCAGCCAATCTCAACCCAAAATAAAGGCTGGGCTCCAGCAGAGCCCCATCTTGACCTGTGTGTGCTTTGTGCTGGGAAGGCAGGATGCTGTTCTTGGGATCAGGTAGGGTTAACCCTATGGGGAACAGCTTTGATGCATCAGAGGAGAATTTTAGAGGTGGTTATGGGCTTTTCTTTCAGCTTGGTGACATTGGGGATCATGAACACCAAAAGGCAATAAGGGCTTCCCTGTCCTGCCTTCTCCTCCTCTCAGCTCCTCATCGATAGCATCAGAAGAGCTGCTCCCCACTACCCCCTGGTACAGGTAGCACTTCAGTGCTGCTAAAGTTGGCAACCCCCTGTCCCTTGGTCCACTTCTTTTCTTCATTTTGCCAGACACAAACATATAGTTTCTGCTTTTAAACCCCCTGGAAAAGAGGAACCCCCACCATCCCCACCCTGCCAGGGGACTGAAAAAAACCAACCTTGCCAGGAAAAAATATTCCAGCCTGCTGGAGCCAGTCAAGGGGTTTAAAGTGAGAAAGGGTGAATATAAAGGAGGCACCAGGCGAGGCCTGAAACAACCTCGTTTTGTTCAGCTTCTGAAAGCAACCAAACCAACTTGGATGTGAGTTTTTCTTTTCTTTCAGTGGGATGGGTTGGGGGGGAGGTGTTTCTTAAGCAGCAGCAGGAGGAGGTGTGGGAGTGGGGGTGCTGTGGGTCCAGTGGGCCAGGCAGGACACCACGCTGCTGCCTGAACAAAGCCAGGGTGTGCTTGGGGCCAAGCCCAGTGCCAGGAGGGAGGTCAGGACCTGGCCCAGCAGACCTGCCTGGGCTTGCTGCTGGCAGCAGGATTGCAGCCTGTGGCTGGGGCTGGTCCAGCCCTCTGGGTGCTCTGGCTCACCCAGCACAGAGGCAGTGATGGGCTGGGGACCCCCAAGCTGGCAGTGTCATAGTATCATAGGATGTTAAGGGGTTGGAATGGACCTTAGAGATCCTCCAGCTCCAACCCCCTCCCCTGGGCAGGGACACCTCCCACCAGAGCAGGTTGCTCAAGGCTTTACCCAACCTGGAAGGAACACTGACAGGATTGGAGCATCCACAGCCTCCCTGGGGCATCCACAGCCTCCCTGGTGTTCCCTGGGCCACTTTCCCACCCTCAGGAGCAGCCTGACCAGTCCATAGTATCATAGGATGTTAAGGGATTGGAATGGACCTTAGAGATCATCCAGTCCCAACCCCCTGCCCTGTGCAGGGTCACTTCCCACCAGAGCAGGTTGCTCAATGCTTCATCCAACCTGGCTGTGAACACTGCCAGGGTTGGGGCAGCCACAGCCTCCCTGGGCAACCTGGGCCAGTGTCTCCTCACGACCCTCACAGGAAAAAACTTCCTCCTAATATCTAGCCTAAATTTCCCCTGCTCCAATCTGAATCTGTTACCCCTTGTCCTATCACCCTCTGGATTTGAATCCGTTATCCCTTGTTCCCCTGCTATTAGTGGGCAAAGTATCGTGCAGTGAAACCCAGAGCACTGCACCCCAGAGCTGGCTGCATTTTGGGGCATCTCACCACCAGCACCCACCAAAGTGGGTCTGGGAAGAACCCATCTCCAAAACCTCTCTGCAAACTCAGCCTTTGCAGCCATAGCCAGGTTCTTCCCTGAGTGGTTATTAAGCACATGGCAATTATTCCTGCTTTATTATTTATTTCTGCTACTTCCCCAGCCTCTCCTCATCCATCATCCCTCCCTGATGGGCAAACATTGACACCTCAAACCAATCTCCTGTTCACAGAGGAGGAAAAAAATATACACATAAGCCCTTCTTTTCTCTCCTTTCTTGCTGTGTCTTTCTTTCCCCTCCATTGAGTGTGGGGCTGGCATGGATCCATTCTGGCAACAGCCGTCTTTCACTTGCTAATCATCCTAAATATTGAAAATCAACGCCTAGAATAAACAGCTCAAAGATTGGGGCCATCTCTGCTCTGTTTGGAAATGCTAATCTTGCTGCCTTTTGTTTTCCCTCTGTGGATTTGATGCCTTGAGTTTGGAGGAGGTCACAGTTTGTGGGTTCTCTCTCCTTCCCCAGATTTTTAAAAATTTTTGGTTTTCCACCCCCTCATGATGAAAAATTTAAACCATTTGAACATTCCAGGCTGGGATGGCTGGAGTGGGGAGAGGGGGGAGAAGGGAGAGACAGGATGGAGGAGGGTAGGGAATGGACTTGCCTTGCATAGCAATGAATGAACCTTCAAAGTTTGGGAAGAAACAGGTTCCCAAACATACATCCAGGAGTTCACATGGATGTGAAATCCTATGGGAACCACATTTGGGCAAGCAGGTGGGGAGAGGAATGGCATTGGGGCAGCCTGACCCTCACACAGGGCAGAGCTTGGGGACAGCTCAGGGATTCCCTGTGACACTCAGTTTTAGATGGTTTTATATCTGCAGGGCTGGAGGTGCCATAGCAAACCCCAGACAGGCTGTGATGGGCCCCAAAGCTGGACTCTGCTGGCTTTGTGTGGAGGGATCAAGGTGAATACAAGCACCTCTCTGTGGGGCTGCAGGGGCTCTGAGAAAGGTGGCTTTGAGAACAGAGGTGGGGGCAAAGCCCCTGTTCACTGTTTTCCAGCAGTGACCTTGCCCTGCCAGCAGTGTCCAGCAGGACCTGTGGCATTTGCCCAGCCTGGATGGCTCACAGCACCCTGATGGAGAAACTGAGGCAG